ACCCTTTAACTCCTAGAAGTGATCAACATAAAACTTCTCCCTATAATATCTTTACATTATCCAGCAAACAAGTAAGGAGAATATTCGAATTTATCAGGTAGAAGTTGGCAACTTGATCCAATACAAAATTCACACAACTAAATTTACAAGGAAATTTGCAGGTAGAGGGGAGAATTAACAATCAGATCTTGGGAGTTAAAGGGTTATTGTACCTATTAAACGAGCTTGGTTCTCTTTCGGCAAGATGCAGTAAACAATTGAGACAGATACTTTCATGTAATTTTGTGTGAAACTGATCCAACAAGTTCCTTGAGAGAGGACAGAGGAGCAAACTTGAAGATTTTTCTTGTTTGCAAATCAGACTAGTCCTATGCATAAGCAGATTCAACTCCCACAAGTGATTAACATGAAACTTCTCCCTACAATCTCCATTCATTATTCAGCAAACAGGTTACAAGAATATTCAAACTTATCAGCTAGAAGCTGCCATCTTGATCTAGCACCAAGTTCTTATAACTAAGTTACAAGGAAATGTTTAGCATCTAGAGGGGGAGACTTAATCATCAGATCATGGGAGTTAAAGGGTTCATTTCTTTGTACATACAAATTATGATCAGGGTTCAACTGAGGTTTCTCTACAGAGATTCCTCGACTTTAAAGTTTATGAAATTCTTGTGTTTCAAAAGGAGTTACGTGATGAGTTTGAACACATTGGCTCTGAGCTAGATCAAATACAAAGAGGGACACACAAGCTTCATGAGAATGTAAAACAGCTACCTGATGATGGCAGAGAAGCAGAGTTGCTGGGGAAAATTGCACAACTCAATTCAAAGCTTCATGAGTATATTAAGGAGGCTCGCACAAGGGAGACCCTATCAAGTGCATTAATTACTGAAGAGGAAAAGTTGAAAGCAAAGCTTGCTGAAATAGAGGCAGAACAGGTTTGTTAATATTGTGTCTGCTGTATGTTTTTTGGGGAATTATGTATTAATGCACCCTGAAATATCTCATGGTTTCAGATTCCTTTTATGGTAATTTTGATCATCTGAATATCACTGCTGCAGAGGTCATCAATTTTGTTTTACAAATGTTTTCGGGTGTGTGTGGTTGTGTTTCCTACCCTCTTTAAAGTATGACAGAAACTTTCAAACCAGTAGAGCAATCCTTTCACATGTTGAATTTGCAAGACATGAGAGCAATTTTAGGCAGCAGTAAGAGATGCTACAAACAATAAATTTTACCAAATACCACCTGAAAAAGAGAACGTTGCTTGATCCAAATTAGGTGACAAAGCTGATTGCTACTGAATTTTCAGAAGAAATGTATAGTATTCTTTAAAAAAATATATATATATTTGCAAAGTTTTATGATGAGCAAAATTTGTGAATAAAAGAATAGAAAAAAGATGGGCTTCTCCTTGTAGGCCTCCCATGAAAATGTGGTGCTTCAGTTGAAGAATAAACTGGATGAGAGCCGTGAAGAAATGGAACAACTGCAAGATGAAGTGAAACTCTTTAAAGATGCTGTGTTTGTGGAAAGAGAGCAAGTATCACCACTGGGAAACAGAAATGATCCTTTGTCATTCAGTTCAAGAAAAAGTGCATCCAAATTACTATCTGATGAGGTACTGTCTGTTTGAGAGTTTTCAGTCCTTTTTTTCTTTTCTTTTTCCTTTTTTTTATGTTAAGTTAGTGGTTCACTTCCTTTTTACATGCAGTAAAAGTTTTCATTTCAAAGTAATTTCATCATTTCCAGCTTACACCTTAAACACGTAATTAAAAGTTTTTCAGCTGAATTATCAGCTATATTGCATTTAAGTGCGTACAGGAGGTGGTTATTGTATATGTAAGTGCAGGTGTGGCTTGAATCCTTGAATTAATATTTTTTTGTACCAGTTTTAACTTTTTAATTATACATGTGCATTTAGCAAGACAGTTGTTTTCTCAGATCCAGAGTCAGCCTTGTATTTTTTCACTCCCTGTTTAATATTATTATTTATGCTGTCTGCAAAAAGAGGTAACATTTCAAAGCTTGGGTTGACTCTCTGCTTATATAACTAGGGTTCGATAATTGTGAAGAAACCACTCTCCCAGTCTGGACCAGAATCTTGTGAGACCTGTTGCCAGTTGAAGAGGCAAAATGATGAACTACAAAGACAGCTTCTATTGGCCAAAACTGAAAAAGATGAAGCACTAAAACTTAAAGAAGAGGTAACTGTGTGATATTTTATTATTTTTTAACACATGTATACTGTACAAGCATGTTTTGAAAACCTCTGTTATGACTAATCGATGCACAAAAATTAATTCCAGATCCTGAAAAGACTTGTAATTTATTGTTATTTTTTAACATTGTTTGGTTACTCAGTTGCTTTGTTTTGTTTTTTTGTGTGTTTGTTTGTCAGAGATGGAATCTGTCTTTCTTCTGGTAGGTTCTTGATGTGAATTACAAGTGGGATGAACAATACAAACTTCTGGTTGCAGCCTCAAAGAAAGACATCAACGATTTAAAGCAGCAAATTGAAATTTTGAGGTCTGGCAATAACGGACATTTCACAGGAGCATTACTAACAGAAAAAAAGGTTTGCAGTAATTGATTGCTCAGTAATTACTTGAAGTTTCATTTCTGAAAGGCGGTTGCAAAACAAATTGTACTGATATTGATAGTGGGCTCTAGTGCATACATACATGTGCTGCCATATGTTTACTGCCAAACATTTGACTGGGGAAAATAACTATTGTTTTGACTATTTTTATTTTGAGACTTAGTATTCGATAGAATATAGAACATAGAAAGCCATTGAAACTTTTAGAAAATTTTATGCAATCTGTTATGGCTAGAATTTCACACAAATGAGGTCTTCTAAAGGTGTACAGATGTATGCTGGAATCTGCATGAATTGGACAGTGCTTGAGTTCTGACTAAGGTTAGGGAACTTGTTCCTTGCACAAGACATTTTACAGTATGTGGTTCTTCTTAAAAACTTGTTGCACATGTTGGTACCAATAGTGACAGTGTGCATGCAATGAACATTCCAGGAATTAGAAGATCGCTGCAAACAACTGGAAAGTGAGTTGCAAGAGAAACAGCTAGAAATAAACAGCCTACAGCTTATGATGAGGAACAAGCCTACACATTTGGTATGCTTTCATGTGTCTATACGCAAAGATACTGTACAGAAAGATATTATGCATTGTATTGTTGTCAAACTATACTTTAATACTTTAGCTGTACGGTAACATGTGCAACTGTAAGTGGATGAGGGGAATACAGTATATCCCTCCAAACATATTGCCAACTGTGAGGCCAAAAGACTTGAACTTACGGTATTAAATTTTGTGTCTATGCATTTGCATGTCCGCAGAATCTAGCACCCCAGCACTCATCGATGGAACAACTGCCTTCCCATCTATCCCTGCTGGGTGCAGCTGCACCACGCCCAGGTCCACCTTCCGAAGGTTCACCATCCTGGCCTGGTACAACTGTTCTTGGACAGCAAATCCCTGCAGAGGTTATTGATCAAATAGAAGTTTTGAAACAACAGCTCAGAGTCTATGCTGACGATTTTGCCACTGAAAGAGAAGACCGTGAGAGGAATCAGACAGAAAAAGAGAAGCTCAAAGAGGAATTGGATGCTGTGAAGGAGCAATTACAAGCACTTGAGCAGCAGGTACAGTTTAAAAAAAAATGGAATAAAGTTGCTTTTGCAACAAATGTTGGTGCAATCCTAGTACAAGTATCTACCTTGGATATGCCTTCCCATCAGGTGACTGTCTACATGGAAAAAAAAATCCTTTACCAGAATGTGTTTGTGAGATTCTTTGTTGCTACATTTTGTCTTGCTAATGTGTTTGTAATAACATCAATAATCATTGTTTGTGTGTATCCTTTGTTTTGGTAACTGCCTTCTCTTAATTCTGTCATGAACACAAGCTGTTTAAGGGATTTTTTTTCTAATTGGCAAAGTAGGTCCTCGTGTATGACACATGTGAATGTTTTTTTTTTTTTTTTTTCTTTTTTATCAGTATTGAGGTTGCACCAAAAGCACAGCTAGTCACATAATGTTATCTGTAGATCTCACACATGTGAACTTAGGGACCTTAAGCAGTCAGAATGGACAATACCAGGGATGCTGTTGAATGAATTAACACTGTGTACGATGTACACGAGTTTAAATTATTAAGGAGTGAGACCTCATCTTCAGCATGACATGTCATGGCAGAGTTGAGTTCTGAACAGATATCATGTGGAAAGTTGGCTTACAATATTTTCTTTCTCAAAACTGTGAAAATTTTACATTTTGTCAGTGATGTCAAGGAAACTAAAGCCTTTTGAAAACTAACATGCAAAATTATTGCTTTGTTCCGGTCTTATGGGTGGTGCAGTCTTTGTCATGACTGCTTAAGGTCCTAATTAATAGGATTCAAAACACGGTTGACATCACGATCATGTTGACTTGTTTCCTCAGTCAGCGCCACCTGATCCACAACTGTCAGTAACTCAGCTTGTCCTCTGGGACTAGCCCTCTTACACTGCTGAACACTCACTCAGCCGTAGGGTAGGTTCTGGAAGTGGAACAGTGGATAGAGTTTATAGTGTACAATGCAATTTCAGAAGCACAGGTGGCCAGCATGTTTCATGGTGGTGAATGTCACATGTCAAGTTCTCCATAATCTCATTATTACTAATGGAAGAACTAAGAGACTTATTTTTAACAGTGAAATAACTGATAGTACTGTATTTATTATATTGATGTACGTTTTTGCATGTACATGGAAATGTCACAATTGGTCAAAATTTTTGAGAACAACATGTTATAAAGCTCAGAACTGGTATTGAATGTTCAAGTTAAGTATATAAACATTTTTCTTCCGTGGTGCTTTTCATGAAATTAGATGCAAGTACTTTTCCAAGAGTGATTGGAAAATGTTATTTGTTTTCTTGGAGACAGACAAATGTACATGCACAATTCTGTACAAGCAATATATGTTTTATCAAGTTGCAGAGTTTTAAGTGTGATTGATCGTAAAGATCAGATTCACCTTGGTTTCCCTTTAAAAAGTAATTGCTTGGGGTATGTGCTTGGGGCAGGGTTTATTGTGTAGTGACCATAGCTTATTATTCATATTCCCATAACATACTAATCACTAATCTTTCATTTCGAAACAATTCATGTGGGGGCAACAACTAAGTAGCTAATTATTTTTTTGTTTATAAAACAACCTTATTTTAGGACAAGAGAAGCTTTTTCATCCTCTTTATAATTCTGGTGGATTTTTAGTAGATTTCTTTGGACATTTTAGTAATTTTGCTTAACGAGGAATAATAATAATGTTTTTCTTTAATGCTTAATCCTCTCTAACTCTTCAGTATCTGCTTGATGTTCATGGAAACCAAGGAAGCAAATTATGTAGTCTTACCAGTTAAAAAGGCATCTTTTTGTGTTTTTTCGTAGCTCCAGATATACGAAGAAGACTTCAAAAGAGAGAAGAGGGAGAAAGAAAGCCTTCAGCAACAATTAAGAGCCAAACAAACTGCAGTAAGTTTTTCTTTTTCTTCTTTTGACGTATGAAACCCGAATGACTATGTCTCAGCAGTTATACGTGTACTTGCGTTTTTGGGATGTGCGGGGACATAATTATATATGAAGGTGGGAATAATGTCACAAGGTTTCAGAGGAGCTTATACATATACAAAATGTACGCTTTGCTGTTCTTCATAGGGTGGTTACTCATACAATGATCCGTTGGCCCAGAAGGCCAGGGCTGTAGCTGAACAGCAGGCCAGGGTCCAGGCCATCAAAGAGGTACACGACCGAGAAAGGGACAGGCTGTTGAGAGGACAAACCGAGTTACAGCAACAGGTTTATGATCAGGTACTAGGTCCAAGCTCAAGTTTGTTTAAGTCGCCATTTGTCGACCTGAATCAATCATAAAATGGTCGCCTGAGTTAAATCTTGGTTTTCAGAAAAGATGTGTTCTATATTATGTACTAAACCGCTGACTGTACCGCTTATAGTTAGAGTAAACAGTACGGCTGGCATTCTTTTTCAAATATTCATAAGGTATCTCCAAAAATAAACCTCTATACTTTTTGAAAGTCTAGAAAAAGAGGCAAAGTTTTATCGAAGAGAACAACAAAAGTAGTGAAGTATTTGGTGAAAGTATTTATGTCACCATCACTAAGTTGACTGGAGACCATAAAAGTAAGTTGTCAGAAAGGTACAACTTGTGGTCGCAGTTTAATGCGCTGAAGTAACATGTAGTAACAGTTTTATCATTACCAGAATTCTCCAAAGGTTTTTCTTTTTCATTTATTTGAAAGCTGCATCCTTTGTTTTCCTCACCAGCCATACAGTCGTGCTCGATCCCAGTACAATCCTTATGGAAGATATGGCCAGGATTACACAAACCATGAATCGAAGCGGCCTCTTTTGGTCCCAAGGGTAAGGTTTTTTAATTCAGTTTCCACAGTGGTTTAGTATGCGCGTTATCCATGTTATCGCATTGTATATAACTGTAGTCATAGCGATTTAAACTCGAAGGTAATCCGGAATTTCTTGGGTTACACTATGAGATTGGTTTAGAAAACTTGTGCCATTTCCTCAGCCGATCATATTCAAAACTAAATGAATCGCGATTTGGTCAGTCGCGCTTTCCCGCGCTATAAGCACTTGTGAATTGTTTTAACTTTGAATTTCATTAATAGTTTCCTTTTCTTTGATTGGCTATGGTGATTAGGTTTGTTTTGGTCTTACGTCACTGAGTCGAAAAACGCTCAAAGACAACAAAGCTAATAAGGTGTTATAGGTCTCGCTTCCCGTCGTTTCTCGTCCATGATATAATGGTGCATGTAGGTAGATGAACTGCACTGTTCCCGTTGGTACCAGAAAGTGTTAAGGATGCTTTTGGAGTCGCAGTCTTTTCACACTCTCACTTTCAGAAGGCATACCCAACCGGCGGCTCCTTATGGTCGCCATGAGAAGATGAGTCAAAGCAGTGTTGCTAGAGCCTGTATTCACCCGGTATAGTTTGTTGCGCAGAGCTATAACAGCAAACCGTCTCTAAGTATTCCCGGACATTTGAAGTGCTACTCTAAATCCTTTTAGTTACTCATAGTGGCATTTCTCTTCCGCATCGTGTAGGGTACAATGCATCCTTCTCATGGATTAATCGCACATCCTACAAGTCAGCAGGCAACCAGAACTTCCATTTACCATGGAGGAGAAGTTTACCCAGACACAGTGCGAGACGTTGTAGATTCCCCTTTGGATGGAAACGATGTCGAATCAGATTCAGGTGTTAGCAGCAAGGAGGAGGTGTTTGGACTGGAAGAATGCCCTCGCTGCTTGAGGAAGTTTGATGGAGAGGATAGCGACGCAATTCTCAAACACATCGAGAGGTGCATCTCCTAAGGTGGCTCAACAGTTTGCGGTACTTTTTCAGATTGTTTCGATGTATCAGCACTTTCACCCTGTATCGGTCTGTGGTAAAACATTGGTAACGAGCAGATGTCTGATCATTGGGTTGTATGTCCTCATCGTCCCGCGTGTTTAAGTGATATTTAATTGTATATTACACAATGAAAACGGCGTTAGTTCTTGCCCTCAGTGATTGTAAAATTGTATTTAGTAAGCTCGGGGTACAAGTCTTTGATTACAAAAATGAAGTCGTTAGTTCTTTCCCTCAGTGATTATAAAATGTTATCAAGTAAGCTGGGGAGTGCAAGTCTTTTGATTACAAAAATGAAGTATTTAGTTCTTTCCCTCAGTGATTATTAAATGTTATCAAGTAAGCTCGGGAGTACGAGTCTTTGATTACAAAAATGACGTGGTTATTGAAAAACGCAACTTGTTTAGGTCTTGAAAAGTAGAGGTTTAAGTTTAATCTTACTTTTTTTAACGAGAAAGTGTCGAAGCTAATGGTGGCTTTGTGATTGGTATAATGATACGCGGAGAAAGAGACACTTATTAACCAATGATTGGACATTCGTTTGATGCTCTTGTTTTATCATCGGCCAATTCAGAGTGGAAGTAATAGCACATCGAATCATAAGTACTGCGAACTGCTTTGAGCCACCACATGGAAACGATGTGGCTCGATGTTTTTGAGGGGGTGGAGTTAATTTTGAATTTATTCACCAACTCAATGGAAAGTAGGGCATATTGCCCCACATTCAATAATTTTTGTGATCATGGTTTACACAGTTACACATATTGTCTTTGTTTAAACTTGACGTTGAATATCTGTTATTTCAATTTTTTTTTGTCGCTATTCATATTTGAGTTGCTTGATAGAACATGCACGATTTTATATTTCATACGAAGTTCAGATTTTTTGAGGTTTTGTTGGGAGATTATAACATTTGGTGGTGTGTTTTGAGTGATATTTTTGACACTAGCTATACTTATTAAGACTACATAACCATGTTAATCAGAGAAGTTAGATACAGTTTTTTAATGCGCGTGACAACTCATGAAGTGTGCGAATGCACAGAAGGGAGATTGTGTTACTTCCGCAATCATTGTCTTAATTCCATGTCTTCTTGTAATCCCTTTCAGTTAATTTTAGGGAAGTTAATTTTTTTTTTGGTACAATTGTTTGAAAGGTTTGCCATGTGAGAGGAAGAGGAGCTGGATTCTCGACCAGCGTGCTTTTGCTTTACTCGGCAATTGAAAGCATTCCAATTCCATATCACCTTTGCAACTTGAAATTTGACTTGGTTTCCACCATCACAAGAAATCGCAGCGAAACAACTGGTGGTCATTTATTTTCAAAAAATTATGTACTCAGAGCTTTGGTTAAAGGAAAATGTGCCTAAAAAAGTTCTCGGGGAAAATGACCAAAGGGCTGATTCGGAGCCAGATCCGAGACCTTACAGCCTATACAATGGCTCAATGTCGACCTTAAAAATTATTGCACAATGCAATCCCAAGCTTAGATAATCGAAAGCCTTAAACTAAAATTCTACTCCATTCAAGGGCTGAGGCCCAGGGCGTGTTGTTCTCATGCCGCAGAAATATTTTATTTCCGCTTAATTTGTCGTATTTTTAATCGTTGAAAACTTGGACTTAAATGGTTGCCAGGTATCTCGCGCCATCTCTTAATTTTTATCTTGAGTCATGAAATGTACCCAGTCGATTGTTTGTTTATTTTGTGTTTGTTTTGTTTGAGGAAGTTTTGGTTTGTTTCTTGTCGCTGTTTTGACACCGATCGATTTTTTTGACTTAAATTTTTTTTAATAATTGAACTTGCCAGGTTTACAACTTTTACAAGTACTTCTCCGTGTGTAAATTCTCAAGAGATCCCTGAAAGATTCTAAAATGAGGTTATTGAAAGTAACAGCAATGATTTACAACGAAAAAATAGCATTACAATGAAATAGCTAATCGTTTCCATGTTTTAACAGTTCTATTTTTCGTAGTTGCGGTGTTTTCGAAATTTACACCCTTCCTATTATTATTGTCTTTGTGGTTTTTGTTGTCCTTGTTGTTCCCGTTCCTGTTCAGTTCCTGTTTACTTTCACCGTTTGTTGTTATCCGTTGATCGTGCATGATTTGTAGGATGTGTTGTGTGAAGATTAGTTGTAGAAGAGTAAGACATAGCAGTGTTATCAAATTTATAATTGTAGAGATATTTTTTGTGGATAGCTGAAAAATCATAACGAAAACTTGAAAAAACGCGCCAAAAAAATCTTAAAACAAGCTCCTGCGGGACAAAAAAGAAAAAAAAATTACGCCGCTTTCCTGAAAAAGTTAAAAATTCTTTTAGAAGGAGGAATAAGTTAACGAATCGGATTGGGAGAAGGGGGGGTAGCGTCATTCGAGAAAATTTACCTTAACCGAGTACTAGTGTAAATCATGAGACTTACGATCGAATATGTCTTTATTGAAGCTTAGACGGGCAAGTTCATTTAAAGGGGATCATTTCAGAACAGCAGTTACAAGAGATTTTAGAACTATCAATACTACTTCGTTTGAAGTAGTATTGATAGCATGTTACGATTTTTCAAAATTTACTCATGTAGTGCGGTCTTAGAGAGTTGTACTTCGTTGTTTTGCTACAAAGCGTAGATGTCTTTTACGTTTATGTGTTGATTAAGAATTAATCAATACGTTTGCTTACTCAGGTACCCGAACGTACTTAAGGGTATATTTATTTTTGTTGAGTTCGTTTTTTTAGGTTAGGACGACTGGTTTGCTTCTACTTCCAGCAAACTTGCTTTACATTACTTACCCAAAGAAAGCAACAGTTAAAGAAACTGCCAAGATCAATACAGAACAAGAGCTGTAGAATAAAAAAAAAATGGAAAATTCAAACCAAAAAAAAAATGTATAAAAGTTCAAAAAAGTTCTAAAAAAATTCCAAAAAGTTCCAAAAAAATTCAAAAAAACAAAACAAAAAAAGACTCAGAGAGTGGGATGTAAGAAGAGAAATACATGTAATGTCTTTTTAAAAACGGGTTATTCATCTCAAGTTTATGGATGAAGATATTCCCGTCACATAAATCCCATTAACTAAACCTGTAGTTTACAGCTACGAATGTTTTAATGCTTTTTTTAGGATCCACCATATTATGGTTCCTTCATTGTTATTGTGCTTTTTTGAAGCTTTGAATATTGTGCTTACGGAACGAAAAAGTTCCACAGTTTAATTAAACAGGCAGCACAAAAAAGAAAAACAAAAAACAATAAAATGTGGTGAAAATAAATTCGTGTTTTGATTTATTACTTTTACGTCCTCAAGTCTTTTGAAATCGTTAGGTGACTTTTTGGGATCTGGAACTTCAAGGAAAGAGTTTCATGTATTTTCTAAACGAAAGAGGTGGATAAAAGGTACAGAAATTACGTCTGGAAAGTTTTTTCCGATAGTAAGAAATTAGGTTGAGACATTCTGCAAGATAATGGTGCCATTTTACGTCAAATCTTTAGTCTAATCTTTGTCACCTTGCTTCCTGTAAATCTCTGAGAGGTCAAATAGAAGAACTCAGGAGCGAAATATTTCGGATTAAATACGCACGGATACGTTTGATTGAACAGCTCAGGTCTAAGAGGACGATTCTTCAGGTAGCACGATCACTGAAGAACTCGAATTTGTGATCAGTGATTGGAGTAGAGTGGCGAGAAACTGTTGGTCTAAAACAATTTTTTTTGTTGTTTTTGACTTTTCCATTTTGTTATTCCAATAAGTACAAATATACATCTGAACCATTTCTTACTGGAAAAAAAGAGAACGAGGATAACTAACTAATGCCTCAGCGAGTACTTTCATTCAAAGGACTAGAGCTCCAGTTCAAACAAACGTGATTGTTGATGATAATAGGAGATAGTTTCAACCTTCATTCAATACCATTGACCATCAATCACATTTGCGTTCAAACGGTTCATGATAGTTGATGATCGAGTAATTTTAAACAAATATGGTGCGCGCTGAGGTCAGCAATTTCGGTGGTATTGAAAAATTTTAGTCAAGAAGTTACGATTTGGAGATACTGAAGCCTACCGGGAGATGATGACAATTGTAGTGTATTGCGTTACATAAGGTCACATAGCGTCACTACTGAAAGGAACTTCCAGTCGTGCTGTAAATATACTCTCCTAAGTGAAAGTAAAATAGCTGATTACGAGTGTTGTACGCTAAATATATTATCTTGATCATTTAATCAAAAACAGTTGAATTAAAGGAATGAAAGTGATCACTTGACCTAGGACTACTCTACAACTATGAACTACACTTCAATTTGAAGTGCCAATTATAATATCAGGCCTCTTTTGAAATGCAATCCCTTAAATTTTCTGTAGATTTGCCAGTCTTACGTTCTACCAGCGAACAGAACGAAATTGCAGGAACGTATGCACACTTGAGAGGCTTTTTGAAAATTAGACGGTATGGCCAGGAGGAGATAATCTCTTGATACGACTAACTAGGTTCAAACGAAATTT